GCCTTTGCACTTGCCATTCCTCTCCCCAGAATGTTCCCCACCCAGCCCCGGCCCCCAACCCCCAGATAGCCACGTGGCTTACTCTCGAACTTTCTCTAGGACTTTACTCAGAGCGTACCTCCTCACTAGGTCTTCCCAAACCTCTCCCTGTCATGATCTACTCTCTTATACTGCTTTTTCTCCCCACCTCTACCTCTCCCTGACATACAATCCATTCATAGGTCTCCATACTCATTGGGAAGCCATGAGGGAAGGCCTCTGTTTTGTTTGCTGCTGTATTTTCAGGACCTAGAAAAGTATCTGACACATCAAGCAGCTCAGTGACTATTTGCCATTTGTTAAATGGATGAATGCATTATCCCATCAAGGGTCACTGTTGATCACAACTCCTGCTGCACCCGACCAGCCGTGTTCTTTCCTACCTCCTAGCTCATGTCCATGCGGTGCCCTCTCCGAGGATCCCTCCCTACTTTCCTGGCTATTCAAACTCTTCCAGTTTTTAAGGCCCGACTCCAGCAACACCTCCTCCAGGCCAGCCCCTCAACCTCCTACAGCCCCTTCCAGTGTGCTTCTGGATTCTTAAGGCTCTGTCTGAGTGTCTATGGCTGCCTGGGGAGACTCCACTGTGGGGAGGCATGTGTAGCCTGAGAGATCACAGATGGGAGGGAGGGAAGAGGAGGGGCAAATCCCTACAGAGGATGGGGGGCTGGGGACAGGATTAGCAGCAGCCTCACAGCCTCCCAAACCCAGCTGGTCCCGGAAATGTGGGGTTGGAAAATGTCAGACTCAACTCTGGTCCATCCCCCAACTCTTCCCTGCTGGCGGTGGGGTGGATTCATTCCTGGACCACACTCCCCCCCCCCCCAAGTAGCCCAGGGCCCTAAGGAAGAGGGGGTGGGGAGAGGCAGGGAACAAACAGAGGAAAGGGACAGCCCTCTGCCTGTCCTCCCCCATCCCACCCTCCTCCTGCTGGGTGACAAGACATTTAATTATAGATATTTGGTACCACTCAGAATTCCAAATGTCCTAATCGCCTCTCCTCCCAGAACCAGTTTCCATGGAAAAATCACAGCAAAGAGCCAAGGAGGGAAAGGAGAGAACCCCCACCCCTTGGGTTCCCTGCCAAGGGGAGACAGAAGAAAGGTGACGAAGCACCCAGGCCTTCCTCGGAAAGGCAGGGAGCTGACTGGGTAGGCTGGGAAGTGTGTGTGTGTGGGGTGGGGAGGGCCCAGGCACGACTATCGGGAGCAGGGGTTGGGGGGCAAGGCCAGGGTTCTGGGACTTGGGCCTGGCTCTGCCCTGCCTTGCTATGTGAGCTTAGGCTCAGCATTCTCCCTTTCTGAGTCCTGAAGTTCCTCTAACCCCAACCCCAGGCCTTGGAGAATTAAACAACCACCAACACTCAGACTACTTGGGGTGCGCAGGTGACGCTTCCAACTTCCCCCAGACCCTGTCTTCCTACTCAGATGGAGGCCAATCCCACCCAGAAATAGGGAACCTTTGGGCCCCTTGACTTCTAAGACACCTCTAAGAAACATTCTAGGATTCAAAGTGAATCTAACTATCTGCAAGTCTAAGAATTCAGCGCTGCAAGAGTCTCAGAGTTTTCACATGTGAAGAATGAAACCTTCAGAGCGCCCGGCACATGGCAAACACTTAGTCAATGTCAGCCACTGTTCCTGCTACTCCAGTATGTTACAGTTCTGTGTGTCCGTCTGTGGTTCTGAGACGCAAGTCACTTCCCGTTTCTAAGCTCCAGTTGTCACATCTGTCAAGTGGTGTGCAGGTACCTGACAGCAGAAGCTGGAGCTCTAAGACTGCACTTTAAAGCTCAGGCGGGAAAAGCCCTGGAGTGGAATGCCGCTGACCATCCAGGCTACTGTGGGCTTAAGGGACATGGCAAAGGGCGTGGGGTACTCGGGCAGGGAAGCTCCCAGGCGCTGCCTCTCCCTACCCCCCTCCTGGACAGATGCAAGCAGGACAGATGCAAGAATAAAGCTACTGGTACTTCTCCCTCGTCCCCTGAGCTCTTAGGTTCTAGCCGTGGTCTAGAGCTGCCTTTCTTCCAGCTGCACCCCAATCTGCCTGTGTCCCTTGGCGACCCTGCAGGCTGAGTCCCTCCTATGGAGCCTCAAAGGCCAGCCAGGCAGGGTACTCTCCCACCATATAGATGGGATCACTGACCTGGCACCCAGGCCTCCTGCCTCCCAACCACACAGAGGGCAAATGTGGAGAGGTGGCCAGCACAGGGGTCCTCTTTGCCCCAACAGGTGTCTCTTCTCAGCCCCTAGCTGGGGCCACTCTGGTTTCTGCAACATCAGCAAATCTCCACGGCTTCTTCCCGTCTTCTTATTTGGAAGCCCACACCATACCATCTCCACCCACAGCTCAGGGAGCGTGACTGGAGCCCCAGGCCTGAAACAAGGGGGCATTGTCTCCTCTGGGAAGGCTAGTAGGAGGGGGTGGAGAGCTGCTCCCCATCTTCCTAGAGTCTAAAGAAAGAGGATAGCAGGAGGGATTCAAGCTAGTAGATGGGAGAACTTCCAGGCTTTATGAAGGGGAGGTGATTTGGGGGACGCTGAATCTCTTTTGAGTCTATTCAAGTCCACCAGGTTATACTGGGGTCCAGAGAGGCCAGCCCTGTGCTCAGAAATGAGCAGGAGGTGGGGGAAGAGCCCAAGGCTGGTCACAGAGAAGCACCAGGGACAGTGGAGCCTTTTCCCTGCTCTCCTGCCCTCAGGGAGGGAATGACCAGGTTGCCCACCCCTATAAGAGTCTGCCAGGTGGAGACCAATGCCCCCATTTCAGGGACAGGCATAGTGAAGGGGTGTGACTGATCCCGGGTCACACAGGGGCTGGAGCTGAGGGTCCAAAGCCTGCTCTTCTGATGACAGTACCAGGCCTGGCTCAGTCTCTGACTCACTCTGAGATCTGGACAGACTAATCTTGGACCTCAGTGTTCCTACCTGTACAGCGGGAGAGCAGGCTGCCAGTCTCTCCCTTAAGGGGTGAGGGGGGACATCAAGCTGGGCTTGGAAAAAAGGACTACAGTGGGCAATGAAAAAAATCTGAGGGCCTCCCTGGTGGAGCAGTGGGTTAAGAAGCAACCCATGAAGCTGTCCGCAGCCACTGCAGCACGAGTTCCATCCCTGGCCAGGAAGCTAACACACATGGTGCAGCAGACCTCTCCTGCCTCGCCCCTGCTCCCCTCAGCAGTGTATTTCAGTCAGTCTGCCTGTTCTGTTCCCCGCTCTGTCTCTGGTGAATCCTCTCACCCACCACACCTCTGGCCTATACCCCAGTTCTTGTATGCATAAATAAATAAATCTTTAAAAAAAAATCTGAGAAAGCCTCCATCGAGGCAAGAAGAGGACTATGTTATGGGCAGATATGTCCCACCTCACAGGGATGGGGGCGGGAGGGATGAGGAGGGAGGAGGACGAAGACCAATTCTGCAAGAGTTCCCACTTCCTTCTGGGTCTCAAAGCCTCTTTTAAGGAGCATTATCCACACAGCCCCTGCCTCCCCACCCCCACCCCCGCCCTGTTTCCTTAAGTCCCTTGGTTCACCCCATCCTCTCCCCTAAATTTGTCTTCAAGTTTCCCAGAGGAGATAATACAGGAAAGGCAGCTGCGTAGGGGGCTCTGCTCTCACCTCTATCCACATGTTACAAAGACAGAACCAACACCGGAGTTAGGGGAACCTGTGCTGTCCACCGGGCTCTCAGAAGGAAGAACAGATCCATAATTTCCCGTCTCCCACTCCCAGCTCACTGACTCTGTGGCCTTCAGGAAAGAACCCCAGAGCCAAGATGGGGAAGAGACAGGAGAGAGAAACAAGGAGAGTTCAGAGGGGCGTGAAAGCGCTGGGAACAGGGAGTGACCAAATTAGTCCAGAGTTTAGGGTTTCCAGGACGCTCCCGGCTCAGGCAGTGGGAGTACAGGCCACAGCTGAAATAACCTCAGGCCATCCCAGCTCTAGACCCGGAACCCAGAGCCTAGAACCATCTGAACCCACAGCCAAAACTACAGGAAAGACTGAAGCCAGAAGGCAAAAGTGGGGGTCTTAGGGAGAACAAGGCTCCCTGGGCCTGGGGGCTGACAGATGAAGGGGGATCAGAGCCACCAGGAAGGGGGTGGGGTGAGGTGGCACCTCCACCCTGACTGCAGAAGCAGCCCTGCCTGCTAGAGATCAGAACAGCTCCCAACCGCTCCAAAAGCCCCTGGCTGCTGAGCTTCAATAGCCCCTCCCTGACCCTACCTCCTCCTAAAGGCCCCCATGCTAATCAGAAGAAGTTCTAGCAGACATCAAGCCCCAAAGAATGCTCCAACTCCAACCAAAGAATCCCACCGCCCCTCCCCCGGCCCACCAAATCTGCACAGCCTCATCTGGTAGGAGACACAGGCACTGCTCTGTCCACACCACCATGACTTCAGATGTGGGGCCAAGTCATGAGAAATGCCAGGACCACCACTGTACTTCATGGGGCCCCCTCCCTCCCAGTTCTCCCAGGCCCAAGGAAGACGGATCTGTCACCAGAAAGTCACATGAAAGGCAAATTTTTGTCAACCGTGGAACCCAAGTCTAAACATCCTACAAGGGATCTAGCCAGAGGGCAGCACAGCTCTAGATAGTTCTCACTCTCACACTTCCTTGGGTATTCACAACAAAGGACCAGATAGGAATCTCTAAGACCAGTCCCTGAGAAACATCTAAAGAAGGCGATTAGAACCTTTTGTAATTATCACCCAGAACACCTTGGGGAAGATAAAATAACCTTTGACATTAGCAGCAGCAGAAGCCTGAGGTCTCTGGGGTCTGAAGAGATGGGAACCTGTCATTAACACTCATAAAATTGCCTGGCACCTCCCGGACCAGAGAAGTAAGCATCCCCAGACCTGGACACCTGCCCATTGAGCATACACAAAAGGCTCCTGCAGAAGTCACTGTCCACTGCTCTCCTGCAGCCCTGCTCCAAAGGGCCCCCACAAAGTACTCACCACTTGTGGCTTGCTGCAGCATTTGCTGGCTGGAGCAGGCTCATCTGGAGCGCGGGCTGCCTCAGGAGGCTTGGCTTCAGAAGAGGGTGGTGCAACTGGAGTCAAAGAGGGCACATCCACTGGCACTGGGGTAGGGACCTCGCCAGAGTGTAGGGTCAGCATGTACTGCTTAGTGACGTCCTCAAGTGACGGTGCCTGCAACATGGAATGGGCTCTGGCAGGGAAGCCCATGGGTTCCGGCACAGCCACAGGGGGGCCAAGGGAAGTTGGTGGCTCAGGTACCACAATAGGCATGAAGGTGGCGGGCACACTGGCATGGCGAACGTGTTTGGAGGAGGGCCGGGCATGAGAGAGGCTCCCAGACTGGTCCTGATTGCCCTTCACTCTCTGTAGCTCCTGATGACTGCTCCGGGCTGGGCGCTTCTTGGAGCCACGGCGGATGAGCCTCGGGGACAGAATGTCAGTCAGTTTAGGGTCAAGGTGGAAGTCTTGGCGGGCAGTGGAGGAAGGCGGTGGGGCCTCGGGGAGGGTCTTCTCAGACTGTGCCCGGCCCCTGGAGGGACTGGGTTCTTCCGGCTCTGCCTGCCGCTCTGCAAGGATGGGTTCACTGCTGGATGGAGGTAGCATGGGTTCCACCTCTCGGATGGGCTCCCCTCCTGGGCCCTCGAATCCTGGCCCAGCAAGCTCCCCACGGCGGCTGGGGTCACTCAGAGATTTCTTCTTTGGGGCTTTGCCAGCAACCCTGTCGTCCACCACTCTGCCCAAGGCACCAGGCCCCTGAACAATGCTCTGAATAACCTCCTGGTAACCCTTGCTCTCCTCACTGCCCACGGACCAGTCGCTGTGGCCACTGGTCAAACCCTCATCCACAGCTGTGGCTGCTGGAAGTCCTGTCTTGGGGCTCAGTGAGCCCAAGAGGTTGCTATCCACAGAGAACCCAGAGGGCTCCTCAGAGGTAGCAGCACGATGGCGCTGGGGAATTGGGTCACTCAGAGACCTGTAGGCTTCACCTGCCTCCCCGTTGCTCAGTTCAGTCCCACCAGGACCTGAAGGTGGAGCTTTACGTCTTCGGCGGAGGGCACCTGGTGTGGAAGGAGTGTCAGGAGACACCAGGGCCCACCCACCCAGAGTGTCTTCAGCCCCAGGGCCATGGTGGTTTGTCTGAGCTGAGGATGAGGAAAGGGGTCGCCACACCCCTGTGGTACCCAGGCTGCAAATGACTGAAACAGGAGGCTCAGGGTCCGCCCCAATGCCCTCATCCGTAAGGCTGGACTCCTGGCCAGAGAGCTCCTCCTGGGACCGTTGCCCCTGGGTCACCTCTCCAGGCCAATCAAGGTTTCCAGAGGGAACATCGCTGCCATCATCCTGCTGGGCGCCCATGCGCTGGATCTTCTCAAACACCTGACGGGCTTCTTGCACATACTGATCCTGGACAACATGAGGCAGTGGGTCCTCCTCGGCACCTGGGCCTGCCAGCAGGAGCTCAGAATTGCTGGGCTTCAGGACACTGGTGCGGGGTAGGCGGCGGACCAGGGGCTTCTCAGAGCAAGTAAAGGACTTTGCCCTCCGCAGGGTGGCTGTCAAGTCCTTGAGTGTGGGGCGGGTGCCAGGGGATGCTGGAGCTGGGGCAGGCATGGGCCCAAGTTGCCCCACTTGGCCAGCTGCTGATGGTGAGTCTCTGCCATCTAAGGAGCCACTCGCAGGGTCCCCGGAACGCCCACCAATCTTTCGGACCCTCAGCTCTGAAAGGTCTGAGCGCAGGAAACTGAGCAGTGTAAGGGTCTCTGAGGCAATATCTGGATTCGACAGGGACTTGCGTTTCCTACTCTTGTCCAACTCCAGTCCTACATTTCGCAACGCTCTGGTGGTGCCCGAGGGTCCCTTGCTGCGAGTCCGAACCTGTGGCCTTAAGAGGAGTCCTTCCCCAGTTCCAAAGCTAGGGGAACGATAGACACCCCAGCCCCCAGAAGCTCGGCTAGCCCACAGGTCCTCATCCTTGAGGGTCTCGGTGCTGGAATAACGGCTGCCACCACGGGAGCCTGATGGGCTTGCCAGGTATGCAGGAAAGCTCACCTTGGCCACCCGGAAAGCTCCCCCCACTGAGTCAGACAAGGGCCGAAGTCCCTCCTGGGGACCTGGTACAAAGGGAGGCGAGCCAGTACCCCAATTTCGAGGTCCTTCCTCACTAGGGGCTCTTGGAGACGTTGGGGGATCCGGGGTCCTGGCTCCCCCTGCCGAGTCCATGCTGCCCAGATTTAACCCATAATTGTCCGGCCTACAGTCCTGATCCAAGGGGGCGCTTCCAGGCCCGGGCCCCAGGCCCCCTCCCCAGGGGCGGCCTCCCTCACCGTCGTGGTCCTCGTCACTGCCCGAGGAGTGGCTGCCGCGGTAGGCCGAGGTCTGCGCCCGAGTCGGAGGCTGCGGGCCCTCCTCTTCCTCCTCGCTGGAGCTGGCAGCCCGGTTGCGGCTGACAGGATAGGAGGAGGCGATGCTGGAGGAGGAGGAGCAGGAGGCCCGGGCCCCGGGCTGCGGTTGGGAGAAGCTATGCCAAGAATGTAAACCATCCGCCGGACGCTGCGCCCGCTCCGGCTGCTGCTGCCGCCACCTCTTCGCTTCGGCCCCGGGGCCGGGCAGTGGCCGCGCCGAGCGCAGCCCGGCCAGGGGGAAGCACGTCCGGGGAGGTGGCGTCGGTGGCTGTCGGGGCTCCCGAGCCAGGGGCTCCCAAGCGGCCCCGTCAGGGCAGGGCGTCCCCGCGGCCTCGGAGTCGGCACTAGGGCGCCTGGAGCCGGGGCCCCCGAACAGCTTGCGCATCTCGGTGACGCTGGGCCAGGCCCCGCGCGCCGCGCCCTCGGCGGCTTCTTCCGCGGCCGCGGGGGAGACGCCCCCGTCCCGGGCCCCGGCGGGGTCGCCGTCCGGACGCCGCGCGTCGAAGCGCCGGGAGAGCTGGCGCACCGACGGCGAGAGGCTGCGCAACGGGCGCGGCTGCGCGGGGGCGCCCGGGGGCCCCGACGCCAGCTTGGACACGCGCCGGGAGGGCTGGCCCGGGGCGGCCGCGGCCGGCCGGCACGAGGCGCGGCGCCGCAGCCCGGGGGTGTCCGTGGCCTCCTCCTTCGGCCCCGGCCCGCCGCTCCAGCGCTCCAGCAGCTTGAACGAGACGCTGCGATAGAGGGGGGGCCGGGGCGCCCCGTCCGCCATGGTGGCGGCGCTCACTCCGGGGGGCTGGCCTCGGGGAGCCGCGGCCAACCCCCCCGCGCCCCCGCCCCGAGGGAGCGCAGCGGCCGGGCCCGGAGCCGGGGTCCTAAGGCCGCAGCGCGAGGGCGTTCGCGGGGCGCGGGCGCAGAGGCCGGGGCAGGGGGGTCTCCGCCACGGTTCAAGTTTCCGCGGCCGCGGGCGCCCGAGGCTCCATCCCAGGCGGCCCTCCCGCCTCAGTGCCCGCCCCAGGGCCCGGCCCCCGCCCCGGCCGCGGCGCCCCGAGCATCGCGCTGGGCCGGGTCCCCGCAGGGCTCCCGCGCGGCCCCTCGGCCCTGCGCCCGCCGCCGGCCTCCCTCGCGCCCGCTCCCGCTCCGGCTCCGGCTCCCTCCCTCTTGACTGCTCCCAGCTCCCTTTTGTTGCAAATAAACTTTGTGGCAGAGGAAAGGGGGCGGGGGGCGGGGCCTCGCGCCCAAAAGAGGGGGTGGGCTCCGGGCGCGCGCAGGGCTGGGAATTGGGGGGCGGGGGCGGAGGAAGTTGGGAGGAGCCGGAGGAGACGCTGGGCGGCTCGAGCACATGCAGACCGGAGCCGCCCTCCAGCGAAGCCCCCCGGGACCCCGGCGGGCTGAGTTGCCCCCCGGGTCTCTCCCTGGCAGAAGCAAGTGCCGAGTGGGGCGGCCCTCGAGCCTCTGCGGGTCTGCTGCTCGGTGCAGAAACACCTCCCGCCCCGAGGGGCCCAACATGGCAACCTCAGACCCACCGACTAGGACACACAGGTACACGCAGAAACACTCCCAGCCAGGAAACGGGCGCGACTCACCACTAGGGGGAGCCGCGGGCTCGGGGCGCCCCGCCCCTCGCGGGGTAACTGAGACCCCGTCCCGCCTGCCGCTCCCCTCCTGCCTCTACGGCGGGTCCAGCTCTGGGCGGGCCTCCAGCCCACCCCACGCTGATTCAGGAGCCCCACCCTTTGTGAACAGGCCCCCTTAGCCCCCAGTACCCCAGGGCCTACCCCCGCCACGCCCCCCACTCGTCCCCGCCTTCTCGACGGCGCCTCGCCCCGGAGCTCCACCCTGCACCCGCCCCCTCCGGGCGCAGCGCTCCTGGGGGCGCGGCTCTCGCGCCCTCTACCGGCCCGGGTCTCCCCCCTGAGGGCCCTGGACCCGGTCTCCGCACAGCACAGGCACAGGCCCCGAGGTTTGGGGAGACGTCGCCGCGTTACTCCTTTGAAGCCTGGTCTACCTAGTCTCTTCGGAAGCGGTTTCAAACCTACCTACACCAAACAAGCCCTTCGCAGAGCTCGCTCTGCCCCTCTCTTTCGGCCTCACACACAAGAGGTGCTTCCACGGGAAGGCCCTCGCCTGGCCTGCGCGCCTGCCCTCGGCCGCTGCCCCCTCCCGACAGGGAAGGGGTCGGTAGCTTCTGCTTTCAAGCTGATCCAATGCTTGATCTCTCCTGCCTCTGCCCCAGTCCGGCTCGCCTCTCGCGGCCTGGGCGCTGGGGCCTCCTCAGCGCCACTCGCCTCCGCTACAACACGCTCATCTTCCCTGGCCCAGCTGAAGTTCATGACAGGAGCGAATGGGAGTTTGCGGGGTGCCTGAGGTGCAGGGGTAATAGTCTCTCATTTATTTCGGTTAGTCCTCGAATCACCCTTGGAGGTAGATGTTGTTGCTCCTTCTCTGTGGGACGTGAAGAAGTAATTTTGAATAGTATACAAGTCAAGAAATGGCAGCCCCCATGACTCAAACATGCAGATTTCAGGAGCTTCAAACACCATGCTCCTCCAGCCAGCCTTGCCTGGGCCCAGATGCCTGATGAAAAAGGGGGTTCGCTCTCCTCTGAGCCCCCAGAGGCTTCCTCTGCCTCTTCCTTGGGCCTGGACATGTCTCCCCAGGAACAGCACAGAGGGGGACTGACTCTAACCTCCTCTCAGCCCAAGAGCAGGTGATTGGGTTGCACTAGGCTGGGGCCTGCGACCAACAGGCCCTGATCCAAATGGGAAAGGCAGGGAAGAACTGAAGGGCAGGATGGTTGGTGCTCAGGTATTGTCTGTCTTCCACGTGGCTAAGGCGGGGAGAGGGAGGAGGCTTGCTGCTTACTTTGGGTTGTAGGAAATCACTGCAGGGAGAAGAGTCTTCCTCTTTGAGCAGAGGCCAGCCTCTTGTGAGTCCCTCACTTCAGCTTTGTCTCAGCTCTGCCTCAGAGGGTCAAATACATCCCTCTTCCCTGGGAAATTGATCGGCAGGGAAGAGAGCCCCACCATGTGACTTGGGTAAATCCCTGCACTACCTGGGCTTCAGCTGCCTCATCTGAAAAATGAGGAGTGGGTCTAGGTCTCTCCAAGGGTACTTCTCTCTGACTCTATTTTAAGTCAGACTCATTTCCTTCCTCTTGAGTTTTTTCTTTTTCTTTTTCTTTTACAGATTTATTTATGCATACAAGAGCTGGGGTACAGGCCAGAGGTGCAGGGGGTGAGAGGATTCACCAGAGACAGAGGGGGGAACAGAACAAGCACACTGACTGAAATACACTGCTGAGGGGAGCAGCAGGCAAGTGAGGAGAGGTCTGCTGCACCATGTGGGTTGCTCCCTGGCCAGCTGGGGATCAAACCCGTGCTGCAGAGGCTGCGGGTAGCTTCACAGGTTATGAAGTTCACCCCTTGTGCCACCAGGGAGGCCCGAGTTTTTTCTTTATACTCTTTTGGGAAAGTTTTGGTATGGGGAGCAGCCTCACCCCAGGAGTTACTGCTCTCCCCAGTAATGATGATCCTTACCGTATGAAATTTGCACTTTTCCAAGCTCCTTCACAGCCTGTAATTTTTTGTCTTTACATCACTTCTGGGATAGAGGTTCTTATTCCCAAATCACAGATAGGCCCGATGGAGAGGAGCAGAGACTCAGATCACAGGCCCCCAGGGTCCTGCGGCTTCGTCTTAAGGTGGTTAGGCTGGGCCTTTGGTTCAGGAAGCCCCTTGGTGGGAAGGAAGGGAGGGTGTTGAAGGATCTGGGCTGGGCCTTCTCCCAGTCCAGAGGATGTGCACCCAGAGAGTGGCCTGACTACTTCCAGCACCTCTTGATTTTTCCCACCTCCACCCCCTTCTGATTCAGGATGAGACAAAGTCATCTTTCAGGCACAGGGGTCTTGGGTGTTTTTAGTCTTCAGAAGATCCCCCTAGTTAGGGGCTGGGAGCACTAGGTCCCAGGGTGGAGATAGGAGCACTGAGCTGGGAGTCTAGAGTCAGGCCTAGGGCAAGCACTTTCACAGATGTACCAGGTGACCCTCAGCAGGTGACTCTTTCTTTGGGCCCTGAGCTCCTCCTTTATTAAAGGGGAATGAAAACAATTACTGGGTAGCAGTGAGTCCTGGTGACCCAGGATTAGGGAGATCAAGATGGAAGGTGTTGATCATCACAGACCAGCGATGGACTGGGATACTTAGGAGGGTAAAAGATGAGGAATGATAAGACCCCAAGAAGCAATGAGCTCAGGGAAAAGGTATCTCACGGGGCTCCTGACTTCATTCTGAAGACAAATAGAAACAACCTGAGATTGTCTTCTCTCCTATGGTCTTATGTCTCAAAGGCACACAATTAAATTATTTATGGTGTTTGTTCATGATACATTCTCATGAGTTATTTAATTTGCTCTCACCAAAAAAAAAAAAAAAAAGGAAAACAAATAGTACAAAACAATAAAACCTCATATAATGTTATATGCCATTTATATCTCAATTTAAAAAAAATCTAAGACCTTTACAATGACCCACATCTCATTATATAGCCCCCCCCATTTTATTTCCCCCCACAGGACATCACCATCTCCACAAATGCCATGTTCAGTATTCTGAACATACATTTTTTGTAGTTTTATTGCATTTTCATATTCCTTCAAAGCATATGTTTTCATTTCAGTTGTTTTTAATTTTATAATAATGGCATCCTGCTGTATATAATTTTTTGGAATTTTTAAACTGTCATTTAGAATCTTTTATCAAATTCCATCCAAGATTATCCATCATATTACATGTCATGATTAGCTTTCTATAAACAAATTTTGCTTTCTGTGTACAAATCAGTGTTAATGAAATAAAAATAAAGCTGTATATTAGGTAAAAAACTATATTAACCTTTGATTCAAACATTATTCCCAAGCTTCTTCAGCTTAATTAACTACAAAGAATGAAGTGTGTATAGGCAAAAACTGAAAAGAGCTGCAGGGTACAAGAGACTCAAGCTTAAAAATATGAGAGCTCTAGATTTTATTGAATCCATGAAAAAAAATTTTTTAAAGATTTATTTATTTATGCATACAAGAGCTAGGGTACAGGCCAGAGATGCGGAGGGTGAGAGGATTCACCAGAGACAGTGGGGAACAGAACAGGCAGACTGACTGAAATACACTGCTCAGGGGAGCAGCGGGTGAGTCAGGAGAGGTCTGTTTTGCCATGTGGGTTTCTCTCTGGCCTGCCAGGGATCGAACCCATGCTGTAGAGGTTGTGGATTGCTTCATAGTGTGGTGCTTAACCCCTTGTGCCACCAGGGAGTCCCCATGAACAAAAATTTTTAAAGTAGTCAAATTATAAAATATCAGCTCCCAGTAACTTCAAGATTTATCTTCTTCTGAAGTTGACTTATTTCAGTTTGCTTCGTTCTTGGAAGCCTATTCAATTTTTTCCACAAGATCTGGAACTTCCTCATTATCCTCCTCTCTAGTAGCAAGTGATACTTTTCCATACACAGATTGTTGGGGCAGTGCTGGTCTCCTAAACTAGCCTGTCTGCACCGCGCTGGTGTCAGATGCTTGTCCATAATCCTAACAGTGTTTGCTGCCAGAGATGTCTGAACTTTTGGGTTGTTAAAGTGAATCATTGTTCCTTGGTTTGTGAACATATTCACCTCTTCAATATCAGAGATACTGTTTACCCCTAATTTCTTTAAGGAGAACTGAAGGTTTTTTTAATCATGCGCTGTAGCTGATCTACAAGTTACCGTCTTTCTGCGAGTAGCGCGAGCAGTCGCTTTCCCAGCAATGTACACTTGTGCTGCAGTTTGGTGAGTTTCTTCTGGTTGATGATCGTTTCTTTCATCTTGTTGGAGCAGAAAAAAACAAGTGGGGGATTAGGGTTGGAACTCAGGGTGTCTCTGGCAGACCAGCTGAGATGAGGCCTATTTGGGGGATTTTTTAAACTGACTATTGCAATGCTAGGAGTGCAGAAGCTGCTCAGTGTCTGGGAGGCGTTGTCAAGCTTGGGTCGAATCACTTCTATCCTTTTTGACATTCTGTGTTTCCTTTTCTGAGAAGTGTTTGTGCCTCTTGCCCATTCTTCTGTTGAGTTATCATACTTTTTTTTATTTTATACAAAATCCTGCCCAGAATTTTCCATGCTCAATACCCAGGGCAGCAAGGGAGGTTTGGTGGTATAATCACTGTGTTACAGGTAAACAACCAGAGACTCAGGGAAGTGAAGGGGTTTGTCCACTGCCCTTCTGCACCGAGCTAATGTCTTCTTCAAAAAACAAAACAAACAACAACAACAACAAACCCAGAAGTTTAAAAAAGATAGACTTTTTTTTCTCTCTCATGCAAAAGCAGATTTAGGTGGCCCCAAACTGGAATGATCAAATGATCAAATGATCAAATGGCAGAGCTTTCTGCTCTGCCAGCCACAAGAGGGTGCCCTTGCTGTTATGATCCTCTTGGTCTAAGATGGTGCTCTAGCTGTGATACCCTGTTACAAGCAACAAGAAGGGAGAGGATGCAAAGAAACCACCTGTCTCTTAAAGACAGTCCGCTTTCTCCAAAATTAACGGCCTTAGAGTATTCTGATTATATCTCAGTGGCCAGTAATAAGTTATCTGACCACACGTAACTGCAAGAGAGACTGGGAAATGAAATTTTATTCTAGAATGTGTGTGCCCAGATCAAAGAGTACTGATATGGTAGTTGGCACTTAGCTGTCTCTATCACAACTTCTTAGGGGACCCTAGTTACTAGGACTGAGGAGAGCAGGTGGACACTTGGATGGTAGGTGCAGAAAGGAAAAGAGAAGGGAGGGGGCATGAGGTAGGAGGGTTCTAGCATCTGGGTTAGGGAAAGGCTGAGTCATCTTAGCAAATCAGTTTTCACATCTGGGCCTTAGTGTCCCCAAATGTGATAGGAGGTGTTCTAAGGATTAAATGCATGGCACCTGGAATCCAAAGAGTCCAACAAATGGTCATGACTATTGGTAGCGTGGCTCCCCAGAGCTTCCCTGACCTGGCACCCAAGGCCTTTACTCTCCAGCTTCATCTCCCTCCTCTGTCCCTCTGCCCCTCCCCCTCCCCCATCTTTTAGAAAGGAAGGAGCACTATGGGTGCTTAGGTGGGGGGGCATGTCAGAGTGACTACACCTGAGGGGGTAATCCCACACTGTCAACATCCCAAACTGTAAAGGATGTAAAATAATGTCACTTCAATAAGTAAAAAGAAAAGAAATAAAAAGGAAGACCTTCTTTGCCGTGTCTGGTTCTGTTGTTTATGGACCCGTATGGGACTCCAGCAGGCAAGTGCAGGCCACACTATTCTACAGGAAGAAACTGAGATCTTAGCAGAAGGAGCGAGGACTGAAAAGGTAGGAGGTGATGAGGAGAAAGAGCAGAGGAGATGAGGAGCCTCCAAGGTGTGGCTGAGAGAAGAGGTGCACAGTGGGAGAAGAGCAGGTGAAAGGGTTTGCGGGGGGACTTCCCTTTGCTGCCTCCATTGGGCACTTCCATGAAGAAGCTTTCCTGGGGCTCTTTAAGGCCCTGGTCTAAGATGCTTCTATCTGAGTGACCTCCAGGCAGCCTTCCAGGTGCCCACCCTCCAAATGATGGAGTGCAGAGCACAGGGTGGAAGTCCGTGGGCACTGCCTGTCTTCAGCCTGGTTGGTCCATGGGCTCTAGACCACAGAACCTCCAAGTATCTGCCTCCTGGCAGCCTTGCGTCTCCTCAGCTGCTGACTTCTCCTTTTAGAATGAAGTTGTGTTGAAGGGCTGTTTCTGCTCATTTGGGGAGGGGTTGCCAGTAGAAGTACTCCCAGGTACCAAGGACACCCTGAGCCTGAACGAGGCCCATCTGAAGCGGTGGATGGAGAAGAGGTGGGTGAAGAGGAGGGTGGAGAAGAGGCGGGTCTGGGCTTTTCTGGCATTTAATACTCTGGCCCCACCAGCTCCGTATTTGCCCACCTCCTCCACACAAGCGATACCCAGGGGCTTAATTGAAACTCACTGCTGCTTTCCAGATGGACTCAACACATCTCCACCTCCAGAATTTGAACACAGGATGCCTTCTAGCAGGGGCGCTCGCCTCCGCTCTGACTTTGGAATTCCTCTCCGATACTTTCTTCTGCTGAGCCCCCACCAACTGAAGCATCTGGCTTGCTCTTGACCTAGTTTGGAGGTGGTTGCAGGATAGCTCTTATTTTCTCAGCTTTTGTAAACAGGAGGCCACATGCCCTCCACCCCAGCTCTCTGGCTGCCAGCCTCAAGGCAGAGCCCAACTCAAGGCTGGCCCAGGCTATACTTCTGTTTGCAAAGCTCCCATTCATTCATCAGGTGCAGATGACCCTTCGTCATAGAGATCTTTCCTGACTCCTCAGACCTAGTCATGAGCATCCTTTAAGCATCTCTTCCCCCAGCCATGCTTCCCTCTGTCACATCCCTGATATTATACTGTCAGTGTTTGTAAATCTAGTAGTTGGGAGTTTGCATGAGGTAGGGCTGGGACTGCTTCTTCTGGGGTCTGAGAACCCACCCAGATGCAAGCACAAGGTATCAGTGAAGATTTGCTGAATGAATGGAACATCATACTCCCCTACAGAGCTCATATTCATCCCTCAAAACCCACCTCAAATGTCCCTTCCCAGATGTACTCACTTCCTCCTCCCATCTTCCCTACTCTCTTCATTGGTGAGTCCAAAGCATGCAGCATACTCCTCAATTACAGTTCATGCCACACTATATTTTTGTGAATAGCTTAATATGGTCTCCCTACCCTCCATGGTCAACAGGGGCCTTCTGGGGAGCCAGGTTCAGGACTTTCCTGTCCCTGTGACCACAGGCTAATACAAAGAAAGGGCTCAAGAAATCACTGTTGAAACTTCGGGGTCTGTGGGCCACCTTACTCCTTGCCCAACTGAGTTAAGCTTTCTGCATGGTTTTGGGTTGGTGGGGCCTCTGGTACCCCAGTCACAAAGGCAAACAGTCCACGCCCCAGGTGCCTTGCCACAATGGGCTCAGCCACCCTGCCGCTGCCATTTGGCCGTGAGTTTCTGCAGCAATTCCTTTGGCCGCTGACGAAACTTCTTCTGGGTGAAGTAGAAGAGAATGGGATCCAGCACGCTGTTGAAACTGGCGAAGGGCCGCGTGCCTTTGTAGGCAGCCGCAAAGGCCTCCAACATGGAGCAGGGGACACGGTGTGCAGAGCGCACCCCCAAGTAGGCGGTCTTGGTGATGTGGAAAGGCAGGAAGCTGATGACAAAGACGGCCGCCACCACCACTGCCATGCGGGCTGCTTTGCTGCGTCGCTCCTGGGCCACAGGCTCTGCAGGGCCATCCTGGAGGCACAGATGGCGGGCCAGGCGCCAGTAGCAGGCCAGCAGGGCAATAAAGGGCAGCAGAAAGCCAATGACTGTGAGGGCCATGCCATAGGGCATGTAGTGGGAAGCCAGGTGGGGCGGGCTCAGGTCATAGCAGACGGTGCGGTTGCGCTGGCTGCCCGTGGTGGCAAAGACAGCTGTGGGCAGGCACAGGGTGGTCACCACCAGCCACACGAACCCACACACTAGCCAGGCAGTCCGGCGGCCCCCACGCTTGTGCCAGAGGGCTAGAGGGTAGCAGATGCCCAGGTAACGCTGGAAGCTGATGCAGGTGAGGAAGAGGATGCTGCCGTGGAGGTTGGCATAGAACAGGAAACGAACCAGGCGACAGGTTAAGTCACCAAAGGGCCAGTCGTCAGCTCTGGCATAGTTGTAGATGAGCAGGGGCAGGGAGCAGGTATATAGCATGTCAGCCAGAGCCAGGTTCAGCGTGTACACGGCTGTGCGGGTCAGGGCCCGGCGGGACATGAAAATCTGGACAATGACACAGGCATTCAGTGGGAGGCCTGCCACCAGCACCACTGAGTACACAGGTGGCAGCAGCAGGTGCTTGAAGTTCTCGTGGAAGACGCAGTGGATGGGTGCTGAGTCTGGCAGCTGGGCTGTTTCATTGTCCCACACCATGGCTTCCCAACTAGGCTTCCTATATCAAAAGAGACTGGGGAAGAACACATAACCTATCAGTGACACACCCACTGACTAACCAATAGGCCCCTGTCCCTCTGGATCTCCTCACCAGAACTATCTCTCCTATTCACCACCCCATGGAGGACCACACACCACACTGGAGTTTAATAAAATTCACGCTTGGGTGAAATCCCATTCACCTTCTTTTTTTAAATTATTTCCCACCAGGCTTCCTGGCGAGCTTCTATTTATTCTTCAAAACCCTAGTCAAATGCCTCCTCCATAGGTGAAGACTGATGACAGTCTTGGGTCTGAATCCCGACTCTGTTACTTGCTAACTATGTGACTTTGGGCTAGTGATATACCTCGTCCGAGACTCTGTTTTGCCATCTGAAAAATAGGAGGATGGTGCACTAACTTCTCAGGATGCCATGAGATTAGAGGCACTAAATACACAATGCAGGGCTTTCCTGGGCTCCTTGAAGTTTGGGGCTTGTGGTCAGGGTGGGCCTGCATGTCTCTTCCTCACAGATCCAGAACCTTTTGAGGAAAATGGTGGGGTCTGGTGCTTCCCTAAGAGCCCAGCTGGGAGTACAGGGTAGGAGGGCCCTGAAAACTCTTATTCAACATGAACAAAATGTTCACTCAGGGGCCTCCCTGGTGGCGCAAGGGGTTAAGCACCACACTATGAAGCAATCTGAAGCCTCTGCAGCATGAGTTTGATCCCCAGCTGGCCAGGGAGCAACCCACATGGTGAAGCAGACCTCTCCTGTCTCGCCCACTGCTCCCCTCAGCAGTGTATTTCGGTCAATCTATCTGTTCTGCTCTCCACTCTGTCTCTGGTGTGGCCTCTCACTCCCCCGCATCTCTGGCCTGCACCCCAGCTCTTGTGTGCATAAATAAATAAATCTTTCAAAAAAAAACAACCAAAATGTTCACTCAGTTTAGATTCCACCTTTCAAAGCCATCATCCTGTTTTGGTAGTGCTCTTCTTATCTGTAAAATGGGGGAAAGAAATGATCCAGGAGTTCTTTTTCCATTTGATTTGAGGCTACAAAGTCACATCTGGCAGAGTCACTGAGGCCACAGTGCCCCCTGATGGCTAGAGTGAAAACAGCGTCCTGAAGACACATGGCTGAGGAACCAAGTCATCTTACCTGAGTTAGAAGCAGCGTCAGAACTAGAACTCAACTGCCCCACTCAGAGGAGGCAACTTAGAGTAGCTCATAGAATGGAATGTAAAGGTTAAAGTCCAGCTTCAAAGCTAGGCAAGCAGGTTCGAATCTCAGCACCCCTTCTTCCAAGCTTTTCAACCCAGGGCATGTCACTCACTTTTTCTGGGCCTGTGTTGTCATCAGTAAAATGTGTCCTAAGCATGACATGCAGTAGGTGCTTAATAAATGTTATGCCATGTCACTGTATACTATATCTTGTCCCTCCATTTATCCCTTCAGGTTGGCTTTTTTTTTTTTTAATTTTTATTTATTTATTTATACAAGCACTGGGTACAGTCAGAAGCGCGGGAGGGTGAGAGAATTCACCAGAGCCAGAGCGGGGAGCAGAGCAGGCAGAAGGACCAAAGTACTCTGCTGAGGGGAGCAGCGGGTAGCAGGAGAGGTCTGCGCGCCATGCGGAACCCTCCTCCGGAGGCCGGGGAGCAGCCGGGGATTGAACCTGCGCTGCAGAGGCTGCAGGCAGCTTTGCAACCCAGCGCTCAACTGCTGCGCTACCGGGGAGGCCCGTTTCAGGTTGACTTTTGAGGAGTCACCAGCACAAATGCTATAAGAGGTTCTTGAGTAAGTCTCGCTTCCTAACTGGAAGTTCCACATTTGCTAGAGAGAATTCACAACTTAAATTCACAACTAAAATCTAGAGAGAATTCACAACTTAAATCCAATGGATATGTAAGACAAAGCCTTTGAGATAGTGAGTGGAATCCTTCCCTCTTTCTATTTTACAATGAAGACATTGAAGCCCAGGAAAAATATGAAATCTTGCAAATGTCCTCAGAGGGTGATAGAAGGTTGAGGCTGAAAATAAGGCTCTGGTCCAGATGTTCAGGTTCAAATCTTCCACATGTGAGCTCTTTGGCCTTAGCTCATAACTGAAACTTTGCCTTAGTTTCCCCCTTTATAAAATGGGGTAACAGTGCCTACCTCATAAGGTTGTTGTGAGGATCAGTGCCTGGCATAGAGCAACTCAGCTGGTCTTCATGTGAATAAACCTGCTAAATGAAGGGAGAAGATTATAAAGAGCTACATTAGGGCAAAACGTAACTCCCCAAACTAATCCCTCTCTAAAATCTGATTTTTTTTAATGATTTATTTATGCATACAAGAACTGGGATGTAGGCCAGAGGTGTGGGGGTGAGAGGATTCACCAGAGACAGAGTGTGGGGGAAGAGCAGGCAGACTGACTGAATACACTGCTGAGGGGAGCAACGGGAGAGGCAGGAGAGGTCCTCTGCTATATCATGTGGGTCAGCTCCCTGCTCCCTGGCTGGCGGGGGATTGAACTCATGCTGTAGTGGCTAGCCCCTGTGCCACCAGGGAGGCCCCTAAAATCTGATTTTGATGAAAATATGTTACCAGATTCTGGGTAACTGAAAAATGACATTTGTATTCTCTAGTCTTGCATCCCACATAAAATGGGGTTATCATTATTTATCAAAGACCCTTTATGGGCTTCAGTCCTGTGGAGTCCTGGGTGCCCAGCTAACTATTAGGCATGAGGGCAAAGAACCATTAGGCCCAGGGAAAAGCGTGGCAGTGCCCCCAGTGTAGCCAGGGTGCAAAGGTTAGTACAGGCCGAACAATTGTTCATCCATTCATCTCTTCATTTGTTTGTTCAGGCCATTCTTTCATTCATGCATTTATTCTCTTATTTTAACATACCAAGCATTTAATAAGTACATGTCGCCTCTTGGATCCAAGAAGTCTTGGTAGACAGATGAGACAGACACACATACACACACACACATGCACACACATCCCCATCCCCATCCACATATACAGACTACACCAATGTGGGGGACTAGTGTGAGCCAAAAAGACAGAAAAGACTTTTTAGAAGAGGGTGGATAGAGGAAAATCCTGGAGGTTGAGGAAGATTTCCATGGGTGGAGGGGGATATGAGGGCCCCTGGGGTGTCCCAGGTGGGGAGGAAGGTGGACCTGAGAGGGCAGCAGCCTGCTGGGGCAGAGGGTCATGGTAAGGAGGACGAAGCAGCTGGAAGGAAAGGAGCTGTGCCCCAAACTCCTTTGGGAGGCTTATAGCCCTCAGACACCACTCCAGAGAGGGCCCTCTAGGGGACTCTAGGGTTTTCTGCCTTCCACTCTTTGGTAGGATTGGTCATCTGGGAAGGAAGCAGGAGGCTCACAAATCTCAGGTGGGCTTCCAAACAGGCAGGCCCGGCTCCCTCACCCACTCTGCCTTCTGAGGACCTAGGAGGAGCGTGCTGATCTCCCAGTTCCGTGCAGAAATTGTCCCCAGGGAAGGGACATTTGGCCCCTGCCTCTGGCCAACATCTGACGCTTTCTCTCTCAAGCTCTCACATCTGTCACCTGCTCTCGAACCCCAAGGCTTGGACCAGCTATTCTGCTCGTAGTAGGAGACTTTCAGATATGGCTTTGATTACATCCTTTCCTGCATGCTTCTGGTTTGGGGAGAGAGCTCATTTCCCCTGTCCTGATTTTTAAACCCAAGCCCTCCAGCCTCATTGGACTCCTCTGGGATCCCTTCACTCTGCTCCTTCCTTTCTCGCCACAATTTCCAAGACATTAAGTCTGCGACACAGCCATTCATGACCAGAGATCTGAGCTTCCTCTCTGCCTCCCCATATTTCTAATCCCTCCACAGAGTGCTGTTCTGGCCATCTCTGTCAAACCCCAAGTGTCCATCAAGTTCCAGACCCAATCTCCCTTCTTCCTTTTCCAATCCCCCACCTGGGTGGGGTCCCTTCCTCTGTCCCAACCTCCCCACAAACTCGTGGATCTCCGTTAGGCTAGTGCTGGGCTCAACCCACCCAATTTCTTGTGTCCATTTCAGCCTTACCCACCCCACAATGACCCATGGTCCCAGGACACACCAACACTTACATGCAGCCTCCTGTTCGAGAAGCACTTTGGTGGCCCAAGTGCCCTGGGGCAAAGGTGAGACCAGACCTGAGGCTCCCCACTCGCCTGTCCTCTGCCACACCTCCAACAGGGCTGGCAGCATTCTGTTTCCTGGCAGGCCTGTCTCTGACTGATATAGACTCTGTGGGGGCCAGGCCCTCCAACCGCCTGCAACACCAAGGCCAGGCGGAAACTGGGCCTTGGTGCAGAGGAGCAAGGATGTGGAGAAAAGGTCTCCTTCCTGGAACACCAGCCCTCCCTCCCACCCACGCCTGCTGGGAGAGGAAAGAGGGTAACAAGGAGAGCGAGAAAGAGCGAGTGATGGGGAAAGACCAGAGATCATTGGCTAAAGCTCAGCCCCACAGACCCAGCAACTCCTTTTCTCCTCAGCCCTCTCTGTCTCCTCATCTGCCCAGTGGGCGGCCTGGTGATTGGAGATCTCTTGGCACCTCCTGTAGATGTAAAACTCAGAACCATTTTTCTGGTCTCTCACTCCTCCACCCATCCCTCCTTTCTTCATTCATTCAACAGCTCATTCACCCACACATCCCTCCCTCTATGTGGCTACCTGCTTAGACACAAACTTATTCACCACCTTCCTTCTTTTTCTTTTCTCCACAAGCATTTATTGAGCACCTACTATATGACTTAAGATCCTTCTCACCCCCCATTTACCAGTCACTGCTCCTTCCACACACAGGCCCAGATCTCACTGGGAGTGATGGGACAGGTTGTGGGGACAGAGGAGATACCCCTGAGAACTCACCCTCCTAATCACCAGGACTAAGAGTTGTTAGTATGACCAGAGGAGAGGATGTGACTCCTTGGTGGCCTGAAGAGGCCAGGTCCAGTGGCAGAGGCAGTACTCGGGGTGACTTGGAGGAAGTGGGCTTTGATTTGAAGGGGCTGAGGCAACTGGGGTCAGGGACAGGATGGTAGAGGGAAAGAACAAAGCCCTGGGAGCTTGAGGGATCAGTTTCTTGTCCTGCCTGGGCCTCTACTTGTCGTGTGTGACTTTGGGCAAGACTCTTCTGCTCTCTAAGCCTCCTCCATCACACTGACCACCGGCATGTTGTGAATGAACAGCCAGAGGGAGGAAGGACCCTTTTTACTCTGGAAGGTGTAAGTATTGAGCTAACCCCCAAACCCATTTCACAGGCAAGGGACTGAGGAACTGAGTAGGGTCCAGCCACCCCCATCCACTCCACACAGGCTGTTAGAAGACTTAAATGAACCCAGGTATGTGAGGCGCCCTTACACACAGCTGCTACTCTGTAAGCGTTTATGAACCGAATGGATCAATTCCAGGCCCAGCCTACAGGACACCCCTTTGGGCTCCCTGTGCCCTCCACAGTCTCCACTAATTTCTGGACCCTCAGTGCCAGACGTCATTTCTTAAATGCCTACTCTGTGCCAAGTGCTTTATCTGCATTTCTGGGTGGGGGTGGAGGGATATTATTCTCTCCACGAAGAAAACAAGACTCAGGAACCAGTGCGTTTCCCCAGATGTTCCAGGCAGGTGGCATCTCAATGGTCTGTCTGAGTCTACTTTACCCATGTTCCTCCAAAGCTCATGCCTGGCGGCTCCATCCAGGGGATTCTCAGGGGTGTGTCTCCCCTGCGCTGAGGCCTGTGGCCAGGAGAGGGCGCCAGCAGACTGCCCAGGATGTCAGCCCTCCACCTTCAGCCTGGGGGCTTCCTTTTTTCTTTTTTCTTTCTTTTTTTTTTTTTTAAAGAGGCATGTATTTTATTCATTTATTTGTTTTGTTTTGTTTTGTTTTGTTTATACAAGCACTGGGTACAGTCAGAAGCGTGGGAGGGTGAGAGAATTCACCAGAGCCAGAGCGGGTTGCAGAGCAGGCAGAAGGACCGAAGTACACTGCTGAGGGGAGCAGCGGGGCGGCAGGAGAGGTCTGCACGCCATGTGGGACCCTCTTCCGGTGGCCGGGGAGCAGCCAGGGATCGAACTGGCGCCGCAGAGGCCGCGGGCAGCTTTGCAACCCAGCGCTCAACCACTGCGCCACCGGGGAGGCCCTTCCTTTTTTCTTTTAAACGATTTACTAATTTATGCATACAAGAACTGGGGTACAGGACAGAGGTGCAGGGCGGTGGTGGTGGTGGGAGGATTCACCAGAGACAGAGTGGGGAGCAGAACAGGCAGACTGAAATACTCTGCTGAGGGGAGGATGGAACTCTGCTGCAGTGGCCATGGATAGCTTCACAGTGCTGTACGTCACCCCTTGCGCCACCAGGAAGGCCCCAGCCTGGGAACTTTCTCAGTGTGACAGGGCCGTGCTGAGACCTGTCTACCCAGGGGTGTCCCAGACACTAGGCATCCACCACCCACCTCCACTCCAGATACATCAACCATGGCGAGGAGAAGCAGGTAGGAGGAAAGGTGGTGTGGTCCTGAATCACTGACTTCCCTCACCCCACACACGGGACAGCCTTTGCCTGATTCTTTTTTTAATTCAGGCAACATCCAGGGGCTCAGTGTATGCTGTAGCAAAAGTAATTTAGTTTCGATATAAGGAGAACTGACAAGGGTTGATGCTCCTTGGGCCGCTTGGATCCTGGGCTCTCAGGTTACCCCTTTAGATGATTCTGCTGCTTCATCCCCTCTAACCCTTTCACCCTAGCCACCCCCCACCTCCAATCCTGATGTCTGGAAGGGATAAGAAGATCTGACAGGCAGAGACAGGAGCTGGAAACTTGAGTCACTGACTGCCAGCCAGCCAGGAATCAGCCCAGACCAGGCTGGATGTGGGAAGAGGCCTCCTAGCCTTGGCCTGCTGGGAAACAGGCCTGAAAACCCCTTTTTGCCAAGCCCCTGGCCTGTGAGCTTAGCAGCGAGGGTACAGGATGTAGGGGTCGAGACCCAGCTTCCTTCCCCTGCGGAGTGAGGCGGACAGGGCTAGTCACCGTGCTTACTTTTCTGGGCCATTGTGCCTTCGGTGCTCCAGTCACTGACCCACCCCTGACCCCAGGAAGCCTCCAGTGTGGGGCAGGGGGGGTCCCCAAGGGCCCACTTCAGGCCAGCCTGAGGCCAGGTTCTTGACACCAGGGCCTGCCTGGCA